ATTGTTCTTTATTTTGAGTCAGGGTCATGGTAATTTGTTTAGGGAACTCACAAACGTGATGCTCCTCCTTTAGAGTCTCCCAAATAGTTGATATCACATACAAATGTCATTGTACTCAGCGTATAGCTGATTCTTTAAAATATGCCTTGAATTGTATTTTCTGTGAGTTGTCATCCCTTTTTCTCCAGTACCATCAAGGAAGTATCAAACCACCTTAACAATGACTGCCTATGATAATGGGCCTGATTACTAGCCCTTGTTCCTTCAATTCAAACGTGATTTAGTGCTAATTTTTCTTTAGGTGTTAATCCACAAATATTCCTCTCTCGGAGTGACACTTACTCCTAATTGAACCAATCAGAGCTAGTAACTAGTAATATTCACATTTAGGTGTAGAAGTGAAGAAGCTTAAAATATATCTTTGGTTTAAAAGGTGAAGATTAGAAAACATATACTCTTCAAAATTAAGGTTCAACTCATGTTAATAATTGATATGATTCTTCAGTTTGTAATTTTTACAGAATTTAAATTAGAGTGGTCTGGTGTTCACACTCTGGATTAAATTCAAAAGGCACCTGGTCTGTGGTTCAGGATATACGTCAGAGGTAGCATGCTTGCCTAGCATGTCCAAGGACTGGGTTCAATGCCCAGCATTGCAAAAATACTTACATAAATAAATAACCTGGTCTGTGCTTAGCCCATAATAAGTCTAGCAGGCAAGAAATATAATGCAGCTTTATTTATAAAAATACAATGTAAGCATATTTATTACTCAGGTGTTATTTTCTGCTAAACAGCAAAAGCAGTTCCAACAGTAGATACAGGCATAGACTTCAATGTTCAGCAGTAATCTATTTCATCCAGGGGACCCAAGTTCATTAGACCTTAGAATTAATACACATTACATGTGCCAGTTTGTGAAGAACTAGAGACTAAATGACTCCCTGCTGTGTTCCAAACCATCTCTCAGAACCTAGACAATCTCAACTCAACTCGTTAAGCCAAATGATTTCCTCATTTCCTGGATGCTGACTCTTGCTTTTAGTTTCTTCTTAACCAGAGTAAGGATTGCCTGATGGAATAAGACTGAAGGACTGCAATCTCAGAGGCCAAAACATAAAAAATAAAAAGTAAAGGAGAAAGCACTAAATTGTCAGAAAGGAGGGACTGACTCCATTTCTTTGAGTTTTATTCTTTCCTTAAAACCAAAGGATAATATACATTAAAACAAAGGTAGAAAGGTTTAAAAAATCTGTATGTCCTCAATTCCATGAGAAAGAACTTAACGGGAGGTGTTATTTGACAGAAATATACATATTCCATATATTGTGATGGGGACACAGAAGGAAGTCACAGAATCCACATTTCCACTTTGGGGAGGGATCCTCTGAAACATCCTTGGTAGATAGCTGACCTGTTTCTGTGTGAACACTTGTGGGCACAGGAATTCACCAGCTTTTCAGGCCACAGTTCAAAACTAGAATGTTGTGACTTTAGGAGATATTCCCTTATACTAAATTGAAATTCATTCACCTAAACCTTCTTCTATAGGGCAAATATTTTTTCTAAAGAAATGCAAATATACTTCAAGATTGTCCTATCCAGGGCTGGGGATTTAGGTCAGTAGCATTGGGCCTGCTTGTAAGCACAAGATCCTGAGTTCAATCCCTGGTTTAAAAAAAAAAAAAATTGTCCTATCCAAAATATTCCTTGAAATGTTTGAGGTTTATGATGATAGACTGTAACGGCTCTTCTCTGTGGCTCCCAAACCTCATTATACATCTTTTAAAAGTGAGTTGCTTTCTGATCCTTCTCTATATGACGCCTGGCCCACCTTTTCAATGGCTTCTGGATCCAAACACCACTGGCACTTACTCATCATAGGAACACTCAGTGTCTTCTGCAAAAGAACCATATTCAAGTCATAATATCTCTGCAACATATTTGGGAAAACTGACCCATCCCTGTGAAATTCTCATCTTGTTCTTTTCTGCTTATCAGTCAAGCTCACTCAGACTCCCTTTAACTCTTGATTCTGTAAGCCAATGACTGAGATTTCCAACCTTGTATATTAAGCCGGCCTTATAATCCATTAATTTAGCTTTATTCTTTTGGGTCTCTGATAGAAGTGACAAAGGAGAGAAAACCAAAACCAGAGCTAGTTCTGATGAATCGCCAGATACAGAAAAAGACTGCTGAGAACTTGAGGCAGCAAAGTAAGGACTTAACTTTGTAGCTCTGACACTTATTAATTCTATAATCTTGTAAAAAAAATCTCTAAGCCTGGGTCTTCACCAGTGCAATGATGTCAATTCCATCTTATAAGATGGAGAAGAACACTAGCAATCTGTCCTATACATAGATGCTCAGTCAGCAAAATGTGCACAGGTGAATGAGACATGCATCTTGTAGGGAAGGTAAAGTCACAAAACTATAATTTCATACAGTTTCTCTCCTATGAGAAATCCAAGTATTGATAAAGAGCAATATAAAATCTAGACAAAAGTAAACATGAGGATAAATCTTTAGCAAATGGGAAGGGAGCCAGGAGATGGAAGGAATGGAATTAATTAATTAAGATGTATTACATACATGCACCAAATACCCACAGTAAAGGTGGTCATTATGTATCACAAACAAGTACTAATAAAAAATAATAATGCAATTACTTTGGTCTCTAGTGTTTACATCCAAATATCATTAGCTAGAGCATATCAATTGGTTGCTTAAAGACAATTAAAATACTGCATTTCAAGTTAGTAAGATAATTAGTAAAACAATATTGTTTTTGTAGCACTCCTTTTTAATTATCTTTTTGAACATCTTGACATTTTTGATTGACTAAAAATTCCGTGTTCTCTGGTTGCTCTTTCACCACACCCTCTTTCTGTTTTTATTGTTTTTTGAGACAGGATCTCATAATGTAGTCCAGGCTGGCCTAAAAACCTAAAACTTGCTGTGCTGCTCAGGCTAGCCTTGAACTCACTATCCTGCCTTAGCCTCTTGATTGGTGGAGTGTCTATTACCACTGTAATCTTTCTTAACATTTTTAGTTGCCTTCTCTCTAGCCTATCATGTGCTTTCTTGGTGAAACACGCTAGACTATTCTGTCTCCTGAGCAGGGAACAAATCTAATTTAGTCCCATTTAGTGAGACATCCAAGTCCTTTCTTACCTGGCTGCAGCTCCCCTCCAGCCTGTGCTCTCTATCCTAGTTCTCTCCTGCCATCTGCAGCTCCAGTCACCTGCCAGGCTGCAGTGCTTCCAGATGTCCCTGGGGCCAACTCCCTGCATCTGAGTGTTCTTTCCACCCAGACTCTTACACGGCATTAGTACTCATCTAGGCCACTCTTGCAGGAAGCCTTGCACACCATGTAGGTTTTTTCTTCCTGTTTGAGCATATTGGCTCACAGTTGTCCACCACACTGCTTCAGGGCAGACGCCATTTCTATCCATGTATCAAGATGCCCAGAATCGTGCACAAGAGCCAACATCGGCTGAAGGAGTAACTCAGGATTAGAGACACGGGATGCTTAGTGTATCAGGGACCCTGGACAAGAAGGAAGAATCCAGCTTGGCAAGGTGGACATCCTGCTCCTACATTATTCCTGTACTTCTCTCTCCACCCTGAGATCCCTGGGCTCAGTAGTAACTTTGTGTTGATTCTCTGGAATGGACAATCCATTCACACTTTGTCACAGATTTGAGTCCCTCCCCCATTCAATTTTAAGAAGCTGGAGTTTAGCCGGGTGTGGTGTTGCTTGCCTGTAATCCCAGCACTCAGGAGGCTGAGGCGGGAGGATCGCTGTGAGTTGGAGACCAGCCTGCACTACATAGTGAGTTCCAGGTCAGTTTCAACTACATAGTGAGATCCTGTCTCAAAACAAACAAACAAACAAAAAAACAAATTTATGTCGTAGAAGAAAAGTTGTGAGTCTATAACGTAAACGGAAGTAACTAAAATTTTGTAAAATATAGTTTTAACATAGTTTGATTAAAATCCAAAAGCATTAAAGTTTAACGGGTAGGACTTAATTAACATAAAAACAAAATTGTTACACAGTATGAATTATTCCCACCCACTCAACCCCATCCCACATGAAAGGTAAAACAGATCTTGCTCATTCATCCTTACTTTCCTAATTATTCACTGAAACAATAATTGCTCCACGTTGTCGACACCCCGCGTTCATGTGCTACTTCTTTTAACTGGCTTCTTTAACTTGAACAGATCAAACCACTTTTGGCCAAAGGAAGGAACTACCCGGGCCACTAAACGCTAAAAATAAATATCAACTTGCCCCAAATGCCCCCTACATGTTTCCCATTATCGGAACCTTGAGCGCAAGCAAAGAGCAATCACATCAATAAGGCCAAGATGACTCCCCCTACTGCCCCGTCCCCTGACGTCTCAATC